CCTGTACCCACAACTATTTTTGGATGATAAACATTTGTATCAGGTCAACTAAACATGGGCACATAGTAACAATATTTATTATTATACATTTTTACATTTTAGGCAACTAAGGCAAAAATGTAATTAATTTAGAAAATCTTTTCAGGACCCCACCTTGATGTTTCAGGACCCCACTTTGGGTCCCGACCCCAATTTTGGGAACCACTGCCCTAGAAGTTACTCTAATTGTTTCAGATTGAAGGTGGAGAATAATGCAGCAAAAAGACCAAGCAGAAAAATATATATATTGCAACTAAAATGACAATGGCACATTTTCTACTAGCTCAGATTCTGAGTTGTCTCAACTAAAGTTTCTACCATCCAGCCAGAAGCTTTGATTATGAATTTATCATTTCAATTCTTGGTTTCCTGTTTTATCTCAGACTTTTATTAAGGTTGTTTTTTTTATAGGAGACCATAGATAGCCTGCAGTAAATAACTCACAGTTTGTGATGCAGAGCGGTTAAAAACCAGCAGCAGCAGCTTCTTGTGTCTAACCTGTAGGTTTTGCCCTCTTTGGGTGCCACAGTGACACAGCCTTGGTCAGCTAGAATGGGGTAGGGCACCACGAGCAGAGGCCCCGAGGAGTTTTCGGCTTTTATCTTCTTCCGTCCCCTAGGTGCCTTCGGCGGGGGCCCCAAAAGTCCTGCCAGGCCTCCGACCTTCATATGATCCACTCCAGGGCCGCTGGCCAGCCCGGAGATGATGTTCACAGAGGGCGCACCGCCCAGGCGGTTCTGGCTGCTGGACGTCGGAGTGGTCGGGGTCAGGGCCTCCGAGGTGYTGTGGTTGTCAGGTCGAGATGAAGGGGCCAGACCTGGGGGCGGGGGGAACCAGAACCACATTAGCACTCCTCAGAGCTACGTGCAGTATAGCTTTCTGCAATTATAACACATTTAAATTATGTGTTAACTTTATTTCTGTATRATACGAAAGCCAGACACTCAAGTAAAGTCTTATTTACCATCAGTCAAACCACTKTGCCTCAGTCTAAACGGCAGTACGATTACTTTTTAGTACAACAATAACTGCTAGGGCTGGGTTAAAAACAATTGATTTAATCGATCTGGATCAATTCTCGTTCAAATTTGGGAAGATCGATTCATAAGTCATGAGATTGATTTTTTCCCCATGGGTGTTGTTTGCGATGAAGCTGCACATTTCCATACTATGTGTCACTCCTGGCTTGCCGTAGGTTTACATCCAGGTGACGGTCAGTGCTAATGTTAGCTCCTTATAACAAGTTGTCTGAGTAAAAAAAACAACAACAACTGAGGAATCAAACATTACAGCTGATTCTCAGCTGAACTTAAAGATAACAGAGACCATGACAACTTCTGTTTGCAAAGATTTGTGCTCAGACGTGGTAGCGGGAAGCAAAGCTTCGAGCGGCTCGAACCAAAACTACGGTATGTAAACATCTGAAACTGTTCTCCTCAACATGTATAAATGTGTGAAAGACGTCAGTTTAACAAAATCGTTTAGTTTTGTTACCAATGTTATAACATCTTAATGTAATTCACAGTGATGGAATGTTTTAGCTGAAGTACTCTTTTTTTCTTTCTTTCTTCTTGTTCAAAAGGTAATAGAAATATTACAAATATACAATTTTCAAATGCTCAAAAGAGTGGGCAGAAGTTAACACTTATATTATCCCACCTCTTCTCTTGTAACCTTATTCCATCACTTCTTAATGATCAAGAAAATTATTCTTAGCTTCTTAAAAAACTAATGTATCCAACAACACTTTCTCTTGCAATTCCTTTTTAGTTTAAACTTGTTTAAACTTGAGACAGTTTTGTTTCAAGATTAAACTCCAATTTACAAGTTTGCCCTTAATGTTTATAATTTTACCAATGCACCAAGTTAGAATTAGTTTCTACTATTTGCAGAATTAGTTTCTTTGAGAACATCTTCTATATCAAAGTAAATGTGTTACTGCTTGATATCCTTAAAGGCACAGTGTGTAGGATTTTGTCAATTCTTTTAGCTGAAATTGAGATAATCACTAATGACAACAATAAAAAACATGTCTAATCATTGCAGACAAAGACCTTGTTTTATTATTTCTACCTTATAAAAAGCTGTTTATATCTCCATGGTCACGGGTCGCCACTACAGGCAGCCGCCATCTTGCACCGCCATCTTGTCTAYGAAGGCTCATGAAGGACAAACTGCGGTGGCGGCGTCAAACATGGTTTTAGTTGTAATACTATAAATGTAATATTTGTTGTCTGTCATTGTAGCTGGGATAATTTTACTTATTAAAGCTCATAATCTTACCACTTGAAACATCACTAGCCCTGAAGCTGCTGGTAGACATYGCGGTTGGAATTATCAAAGGTTTTTGACACCTGAGAGACACTAGCCTGGTCCTTGCCTTCCTACGCAGCTCCGCTCAATTCTAGTTTCCCTTCGCTGCTCAGTCTGGGACTTCTCCCACTGAGATGGATTTCGCTGGCAGATTTTTAGCCGGGCCAATCAGAGAACAGAACGTAGATTTTCTGCGCAGTGTCTGCTTGTAGTTTATTTTACCTGGGCCAATCAGCAAACAGAATGAGGAGTTTTGAATGACGTCGATGTTCTGCGCGGTGTCTGCTACGTATTTTAGCATACGGCAGTGGAGGAAGTGAATGAAGCCAGTCTGTGTTGATAAGGCTTCCAAATTAAATTAAATTTGTCTGACAAAGCAGCAGSTCACATTTACAGTCGTCTCGTTCGGCTCGGTACTTTTCTCCTCCCAGTAGGGTTGTTTACAGCACACGCGATTTCCAGTTAGCTTCTTAGCTTAGCCTCCATCACAGTGACAACACACACATGTTTCAGCAGAGGCCACGCCTCCTGCAAGAAACGATTCTCTATGCATCAAGTCCAGACCCTAGTACGAAGCAAAGTGAAGGACAGGGTCTGGTTTTAACCAGGCTGGAGAGACACCTTAGCAACTCCTTTGCGTTTGGAAGCAGGGGGTGGGGGTGGGGGGAGGACCAGGGAGGATGATTCAACAACTCAAACATTAGATGTCGCTGAAAACAACAAATCCTACACACTGTGCCTTTAACTAATTTAAAAAACAATCAAACTGAATCATGAATCGTCGTGAATTGAATCGATTTGGGAAATCTGAATCGATACCCAGCCCTAATAACTGCATTACCTGAGCGATGGTTGACCCGGCCAGATTGCTCACTAAGCTGTCTCATGTGCCAGTCTTCCCACAATCCTTTGGCCTTCACCGCTGCCTTGTCATCTAGACTTCCATCTGGAAATTATGAGGTGATGGAATAACAGTTATAATCAGTAAACATCCACATTTCAGAATCAGCTGCAGAACATACTTAGCTTGCTAATGTCAACTTAGAGGTAGACTATGAATGCAAATATGGCTTCTAATGAAATTAGTCTTGTGAGCACAAACAGAGTGGTACCTGGTCCAGAGCTGGAGGCGGGGCGAGCGTGCAGAGCGATGTCCGGCTGTCCGGARCCCTGCGGCTGCGTGGCGTGGTGGCCCGGCACCTGCTGCGGCTTCGGCATGCCGTGCTGAGCGCCGCCGTCCGGGGACGAGGCAGGCACGAGCAAYGACTGCTGAGACGGGGAGGAGGTGGGCGGCAGGTGCAGCGGTCGGATCTTCTCCGCCATCAGCTGCTCCTTGATCTTGTTAATGAGGACCAGGTTATCCAGCTGAAAGGGTTAACGGGTCATGCTMAACAGAAAACAGCTGACCGTGTGTGAATGTCATTCATGCCCTYCGGAACAAAAAACAATAACTCATCGAAGGACAGAAAATAGGAGACAAGCTAATCTAATTTAATCTGGCAGAACATGTGAAAAGTCTCAGCCTAGGATTTATAKTTTCTGTGATGAAACTTTTAGAAAACGGCTGAAAAGACATTCACACATGGGAACACCACAGTAACCAAATGTCAAGAGTGAACTTACCTGGCTTGGCATGGATGGAGGCGGTGGCCAGAAGTACGGGTTGTTAAATCGAGGCTCTGCCATCCTAAAAAAAAAAAAAAAAGAAGTCAGGTTATATTTAACGAGTTAATGTCTTATCACAGATTTATCCAGTCAGGTTAACATGAACAAAACCACACTTAAACTCAGCTCACACAGCCCGTTTCATCTTTTATCCTTTTTAAAAGTCCACATTTTACACGCATTTCCATCAAACTCACATTAATTAAGCTTTACATGGACACCTATGCTAAAWTACATTACATCAAGGTTTAGCGAACAACTTCTAGACCTACTAAATTTATTTTATTTGTTACTGTAAAGCACTTCCTATGGGTGTGTCTGCAAACATCAGCATTTAGGTCCATATCCTTGCTAGCTGTGATTTTGTTGAATTCCCTTGTGAAATAGGACAGGGCGATATTGGCAAAAAACATTCATCACAATTAATAGTGGAGTTAGCCGATAACAATTAATATGAATAATAATAGATGACAATTGCACTTGCATGTAGCCAACGTTGTGGCCTTGGTCCGCCTTTTCTGACTTTCCTTGTACTCTGATTTATGTTGGTGTTTCAGGTAATTAATAGGGCTCACAGGGTTCGGGTTAGCATCAGTTGCTTTATGCTAGAGTCGGGCAAAAAAATATGTGCAATTAATTGTCAAATAAAATATTTGCTACATTGCAAATTAATGCCATTATTGCCATGTGATGACGTATTTTTGTGTATCAAGTACATGTGAGCCTGTGGCATATCTGCTGCTACTTAAGGTCGGTTTCAACTCTCAGCTTACTATTTTAACCTGCTAAAATGAAGACGTCAGTTTTGACAATTTGTAAGTATAGTTTTGGAACACAGGGTAACTGATTTAGAGTCATAAACACACAAGTGCAATTGTCATCTATTAATCGTCATATTAATCTTTATCGGCTAAATGCCAGAATTAATCAGGATTCACTTTATTGCCAATATTGCCCAACCCTACCCTGCGCTGCCTTACACCTTTAGGCCTGACTGTGATCATGTGCCGCACACAAAAATACCACATGGCACTAATTGCAGTAATTGCAAAGTGGCAAATATTAATTGTTGGCAATTTTTCTGACGATCAATTATGCACAACAGGATTTTCTCAACCCTTGTTCGAAAATAGCAAATACTCCTCGCTTTTGCTTGTAACTAAATTTGGCAGTTATGAAATCCTCCAAGGGTTTGAGGTATCGTGGCTGGGCTGCCCTTGGTCCAAAATGACCCTTGATTTTTTTGCGGTATTATAATATCCCTCGTGAGCCAAGTCTGATTCAAAGTATACTCATCAATGTTTGAATGTCAACAAACAGCTTGTAATAGTTGGCAACAAATCCAGACTTTATTGATTTTGCTAATTTATTATAAATCATGCGGTAGACATTTGGTAGCGTAGTTACTTTTATCATAAATAATAAACTACCAGGCTCTCACACATTCTCAGTTTTCTTATAACACTTCCAGACAAAACAGAAACAAAAAAATGGCAGCCTTATTTTTACTCCTTTATTATAAAACACGTAGTTAATGAYACATATTTAGTAGTTACTTTTATCATAAATAATAAAACATAAAGGAAGTTGCATATTTTGACAACCGTTATGGCTTTAAGTCAAAGAACCGAAAACGTTTGCCAGTTAGCACAATTGTTTATTCACGGGAAAAGCCTGAAAATAGGTTGACAACAACATCTAAACAAAAAAATACGTTTGGGATGGAGAAATCTAAATTTTGTATTACTGTATTTATGTGCAGATTTATTGAATATTGTATGCAGATCAAAAATGCTTTGTTTACATTGAGTGCATACCTGCATTCCATCACTGAATTAAAAAAAAACAACTACTGGAGCAAACTAAATCTGCACTGCTGTTTAGTTCAGGATAACCTTATACGTTTGGAATAATTGTTTGCAAAATAGACACTTTTAAGCAAATTAGGATTAAAGTGAGAAAGGTTGTAAAATTAGGCCTACAGAGCTGACACTTAAAAAAACAGAGCTATAGCTGTTCAGCTTTAAGCTCGCCTCGGCTCCTTTTTTGGATTCCTGGGGGAAAAAAAGAAAAGTAAGTGTCCGTCGCTTTAAATTTTCAGAGAAAAGGAAGAAGAGAAAAAAAGAAGGGGAAACTTTGCTTTCTTTGACTTTTCGGACATCGTGTCTTTCTGGGAGCAGCTGGTTCGGACTGACGGAGGGGCTCTCACACATTCTCAGACAGTTTTCTTAAAACATTTCCAGACAAAAGAGAAACAAAAATGGCAGCCTTATTTTTTATAAGGCGGGACGCCATATTCTGCAGAGCACCCCCCCAAAAAATATATATTTGTAGGAGCGGTGAGCACAATGGAGGGTTTAAAAACAGAAGAAGAAGCGACCGAGAGACGAACACAAAGGTGTGTTTATTGTGTCAAAGGCAGGAATGATTGTTTACGGCAGGTTTGAATAGCCCGGCCTCCCCAGCTCTTAAAAAAACTGACACTTCCTACAACAACCATGCCCTGTTGAAAAAAAAAATACAGGACGGAAACGGACAAGCTGGACTCATTAAGTCCAAGAACACGTCGATGCTTCAGAGTCCAGAAATATCAGCAGCACACAATGCCTCACCGCCCGAAACACGACAACAAAATCCCACTTTGTAGGGCTGCCGTTCCCCCCCGCGGTCTGTAACTTTTGGGCAAACCAAAGGAGGGAAATTGAGGGATTTTTTTTTTGTGTGTGCACACATCCGGGACGCGTTCGCTTCTCGGAGGAATGCACGGCGGAGAAAGCACAAAAAAAACATGCACAAATACCTTGTGTCCCGCTTGCAGATATTGTCTTGCGAGTGCAGCTATAATATAAAAGGTTGATGTTCTGTCTGCCTCCAGTCGGACCACCGCTTCCGGGTCGCCTCGTTCACTTCTGGGTGCTGCTGCAGGCTCGGTACAGTCAAGCTACACTACACGAGCACAGACAAGGGGCACATATTTCCTCKGGGTTCTTGTTGTGATCACTGTTTTGTCGTTTTTTCACCCACGTTGTTACAGTTTTGGTGCATCACGGTGTTATTTTTAAGGCGTGTCTGGTTAGTTCCTTTTCAGTCATTTCACTCAGTACAACACACAGTTGTATATGGGACACGCGCGCCTGACTGAAGCCACCTCTAATCACGTCTTTAGACCGGTGACGTGGTGACGTTGAACGTCGGGTGACAGGCTCCGCCTTCACCCTATAAGTTCGGAGTCACCAGCGTCGTTACTCAGTTCTATCGCCCTTCACCTAGCGATAGTCACCTCTAAACCTGAGCTCATATAGCTGCTGCTAGTTAGCTCAGCTTCTAAGGTTCTTAGAGGTGCTTAAAGGCTAGCTTTACTGGTGCTAACGGCGTTACCTGCTGGTTCGTGTGTCTGCCGCTTGACACTACTTAAGTGACCTTAATTTTCTGCTGAAAATCTGTTTTGCAGTTCACGATGAGCACAAAACCACCTTCGAAGAAGCCAAAGTATTTTGTTCGCCCCTGTCCTCAGGGGTGCGGCTTTAAGCTTCATGAGAAGGACCAGCATGAGGCCTGCCCGGCCTGCCTATGAATCATTCACGCTCAACGGGCGCTTGTGGAGCCCGAGTCCTGCCGGGCCTGTGCCGGACTTTTGCGTCCGACACTGGAGAGGAGAGTGAAATTCCTGGAGAAAATGCTGGGGGAAACTGCTGTTTTCCGACAAGACCCGCTGCTCTCCGAATCCAGCCGGCGGCTCAGTCCGACGAAGACGAGGATTCGGCGGTCGAAGCCCCCGCTGC